TAAGGTCAAGAGCATCAGAATAGGACAAACCACACAGACCAATTTTGAAGTTACCTATACAGAACAAACCTTCACAAAAAAACCCAGCAAAAACTATTTGCACACAGCAACACACAAGATCACCTCTTCTCTTTCTCCGTCTCCTTCTGCTCCAGCGAGGAGCTGGCAGGAGGCATCTGCTTGCTGCTCTTCTGGACCGAACACAGGCCATTACTTTCCATATATTCCAATTTCACCAACCGGGGGCTGTCTGAATCTCTCCAGGTGGTTCCAGACATAACACATTTTGCATCATGCTATTATGGCCAGAACACCGAATAAAAAGCAAAAAGCTTTTCCTGAGAGATTCGAGCATGCCTAGACAGCAACCTCACCATAAATTTCTGCAGAAAACTCCTTACCCTGACACTGAGGTCTGGTCATTCACAGCCAAGCCACAGCAAACAGAAGAAAGCACAAGCACTGACTCTCTCTCAACCAGGACACAAAACTTTGCCTTCAGCTGGTACGAAGCCATTAGATAAAGGCCAGTTTGCCAAGTAGCTCAGTGCTCCTGAACTTACGAGAAGCTTCACGCAATCATTTATTTTTACAATAGCCTTCAACTATTGTAAACTAAGTCGTCAGCTGTGACTTCCTCCACATCTATCAGTAACGTTTGCTGTCTCAGCATTCCAGCATCTCTGTGAAAGTGAAAGCCATTGGAATACATTACTAATTTTGAAGGCATTAATTAAAAACACTCACTGGCTTCAAAAGCATCCCTGAAATAAAAGAAACCTGAACAGTGAGGCAGGATTTGCGGTATCTGACATGACCAAGCTACTTAATAAGTTGATAGAAAAACCCCGAAGCGTTTTGTATTCAAAACTGAAACTATGTCAGAAATCTAACAGAATGCAGTTCAACACAGAGGCACTTCGAAACTTCAATGAAAATTTCTAAATCCACTCACACCCTATTTACATTAGAGGAGCGCTGTAATTGCACAAAAATATGATCACTTCCAGAAATTCAAGTGCAACTTAACCAACCGCAACTGATTCTGCCCCAGATGCAAAGAACATGTTCATTAAAATAAAAATCTGTTGTGCTAACAACGTCAGCAGTGAAAGAGATACTGCGTGATGAAATAAAGGCAAACAACCTGACTGCACTCTGAGGTTTGGGGTTTTTTTTGTTGGAGGTTTTTGTTGTTCGGTGGTGGGTTGTTTCTTTTCTTACGATATTTAAAAATGAAAATGAGTATAGCCATTATTCTTAAATTGTTAGCACCCTTGCTTTTTTTCCTCCCTTCAACGTATCACGACATTCTAATATCAAATGGCCACACACAAGCCATTCTCCCCGTTTTCAACAACCTTTGCTGATAACTTGTAGGCAAGGATATAATGGGGAATCTTTTTCTCCACAGAGCGCTGTATAAATAAAGAACTGAATCTGATCGTTTTCATATGCTGCCAGGCTTTGGAGGGATAAACGTTTCCAAAGAGCTGGCGCCTCTGTTTTGGGTAGGAGTGGGTTGGAATATCACAGGAATCCCCTTCTGTCCCCCGCTGAAGCAGAATCTGGTCTCTATTAAAGGCTTTTCAGCTCTAACTCTACTGTCTGAAATATCCTGATTTTATACAGCATTGCAACTTCTAAAACATTCATTAACATTAATACGATCCTGTTCCAGGTCTGGCAATTCCAAGTTTTACTGTCCTTGCCAAGCTTAGCAGGAATAAAAAAAATAAATAAAGTTTTAGTAATGATGAAAGGTGTATAGATATATTTTAAAGATTATGCTGAGGGGATCTTCATCTGCATGCAGTGTAACGTAATGTAAAAATTCACTTAGCATAGTCAGAACGCACCTTTTCTAACTGCCCTACAAAAACCTTCAAGTACCATCTTCGCAGTGCAACCACAGGTACTATCTGATCAAACGAAATGACACAAACAGCACAAGGTACAGCTTGGACTAACGTTTTCATCGCTGTCAGCAACACCGTCGCCAGAGGGGTACAACCGACAAACCGTATTGCTGAGCTGACCAAGCATGTGAGCATTGGAAAATTCAATACAGGCCGTAAACACGACGAGCATGGGAATGCACATTTATGCCTCCCTCTCTGCTGAGAACATGAGGACCACGAGCATCTGACATAAGTGCTTAGTGATTAAACTGCATTTGATTCTGCCTGAACGCCGCACTAGAACACAACTGAGGCGAAAGCCAGGGGAGCGATGAATGATTTGGAAACCCAATTGCCCCTTAAGAATGTCTTGTAAATCCATTTCTGCTCTCTCCCCTGCCCTGCTCCAAAAGATCCTGATTTTTACACAGTCCTAGGATCCAGAGTGCAAAAGCCCATCTGTAAACATTCCAGGTATGTGGCCAGGATGCCTTTTCCCCAAACACATAAATGAAAACCGAAATGCAAAAATCAGCTACAGAATTACAAGTAATTGAGGCAAAGATCTCTTGGTTATTCATATCAAACATGCACAGTAAAATAAAAATAAAAGCATGCATAAACAAAATGTATTTCATTTATTAAAAAATCTGTATTTGACATCACATATATTTGAAGTATCTTTTGATCATTCTGCTTAAACATGATTTCAAACCAGGAATTTTTCTTTCCTTTCTGTAGGTGATCTAAACCAGTGTTTTATTGCTGGGACAATGACAACGGTTGCTTTAAGAGAAAAAGGGTACTTGCAGCTAATAAGGACATTATTTAATAACAACTGCCTGCTGCCTTATTAAGAGCAAGAGTCTTTTCAGAAGTTATTGAATTCAGCTCCTGCAGCTGCCCAGGAATGTTGCTTTTAGTGTCTCCGTGTCATGAGTTCTGACGTCTATCATGAAGACCCAGATGCTCAGTATTACCTCAATCTCACAGTTAATTGAAAGAGTTTTTGTACATTCCGGCCACAAATAAGCGTTTTCTACGCTCGGACTATAGAATAAGTCTCATAGAACTCCAGAAATTACTTCAGAAAACCTTGTTCTTTTTTAATCTTCAGAATTAAGCAAGCACATGGCTTCTTCTCTGCAGTAAGATGAGTGGGCAAGGAGGACAGAGCAAAGGAAAATAAATCAAGATAAGTTTTAAGTAAATCAAGGCCAAGGACATAAGGCCAGGCTTAAAGTTGCTACTGTGTTGTTAAATTAAGGCAAACTGCCACAGATCTTCACAAACAGCCTGAAGTCAGTCTACCTTCCTTTTGAACCGAACTTCGGAGCGTGTCCCAGCTCTGCTATGACAGAGACAGAACAATTCAGGTAATGTAGCTGCTGCTCCAAGGACCCAGCGGCAGTCAGGCCTCCAGGGCGAGGATTCTACCTTTGCTAGAGCTGACACCTGACCTGGCTGCACCTGTGTTTGCCAGGGGACGCGCACCAGTCACTCCTTCCAAGTGAGAGATACTGTTCTCTGCATCTGCCTTTTCCCTCTCGTTCTCACGCCCCGTGCCTGACTAACCTCAGTCATCAGTAAGGAGGCCAGAAGAAAAAGCAGCTTAGCAATAACAATAATCAAATTTTCTGAGAACCTGAGAAGCAGCAGATTGATCACATTCGATTATAGTGAAGTCAGGCTGTACTGCTGAAGCAGGAAGTAGGAAACGGAGTAAGGGAAACAAAATCCAAATGTTTCTGTTTTCTCCCCGTTCTCTGCCTGCCTTAACTTGCCAACTCTTCTTATGTATTACTCGTCCTCTTACAGCTTTTGCTTTTCTGACATCTCCGAGCAGCTGGTTTCCATTCCCTGTTCTGGCTCCTCTTTTCTTGATCCCAGTAATTTCTGCTCCCATCAAGAAAGAATCAAGACTGTGGGGCCCTAAAGAAGCAAAGAACAAGACTACACCAGTGAAACACAGGAGTAAGACTCCCTGCCAGTAAGAAAATGGTGAGAGGAAAATAAAACTAGCCTGCACAAGAAAGCAGGCTGCAGCTTCCAATTAAGTTCACTGGTAATGTTTCCCACCTCATGGGATAGCAGGCTAAAAAACTCCATGCCTGCAGCTCCCGAAGCCTCTCCTGGGGAATGTACGGGACAAAAGATCTCTCTCCGCGCTACTCAAGTATCAGCAGAGGCAGATATTGTAGCTCTGTGAACAAATAGATCCTTACAGCCTAAGTACCCACAGAGAAGGCCATCTACAGAAAGGAAAAAAGGACAAAATCAAGAGAATTCTTATAAAAACTTTAAAACTTCAGAATTCACTTTGCTAGAGTTAAAACCGACACATTTTGCAATTTTTACACGACAACATCAGACAGCACACACAAAACACACAACACTGCACAAACAGACAAACAAATGGAAACAATCTGAAGTTTTGGGAAAGTACTAACCAGTTACTGACAGCAGCTGTGAAACCCTCACCTCCATTTCCTCCCGATGAGACCTGTCTCTATCCTCGAACTCGCGAGTTCTTCGCCGAGCTTCTTCGAAGGCTTGTTGTGCCAATGCATCCTCCTGCTACCAAAGCAGAAGACACAGTGTGATACAAAAGCCTACCCTCGTTTCTACCAGACCACGTGGCTTTTTTTAGTATTAGGGATCACTTGGCAGCAGAGGTAAGCATGTCCTGCGGGATCTGACAGAACTCAGAGGAGCTCCAGCAACGGCCAATAGAGGTTAATGAAAGAGCACTCACCTTCATCACCGTACGAGGAAAACCAAAGCTGCAACGCAGCTACTACTAAAACACATCTTCAAGGTGAACTGCTTTTCCAAAGTAGTTTAAAATGCTGGTTTTTTAAAAGCTAGGAATTCTCAGAAGTTATATGAAAGAGGCAATGCTTTTTATTTTCCTTATGAAAGTGATTTTTAAGACAGTATTCACACGTGTATCTAGACAGAATTCACTAGCATCAGTATATAAATAATGGTAATTTATTTCTCTTTCATTTAAAAAAAACTATTAGCTAAGCTACAAACCAAATAAATCGTTCATTTCATCAAAAGCTGTTCAAGGTGCCTCAGTGTGAACATTCCTAATCATTATCCATCACTGAAATTATTTAAATTGAGATGCACCACAAAAGTGCAAAGCAGAAATTACTCCTCCACTAATCTGCAGGCATTCACATGTAATGCAGAACAAACCTGAGGCTTTTCAATGGCCCCAGTCTTTATTTTCAACACAGGAATAGATTTAATAAATTAATGCTAAAAAAAATAATTTGAATCCTAGTTTCAGTTAGAAAAGTTTCTATATAAAGTGTTATAATGTAGGCCATTATTGAGTCACAAATTATTTACCTTAGAGACCTTTTAGCACATATTTTGCTCAGAATGTAAATAGATCGGTCTCTTCCCCACCAGAATTTTAAAATGTTCAGAACGAAGGAGTCAAGTCTAACAAGAAGTGATAAACTATACTGGTTCTCCCTCTTCATAACTCCTCAGCTGTTACTACTAAGTCAGCTTATGATTCCCACGTACACAGAAATGCTATTTTCAAGTTGATAATTTAAGAAAAAAAAAAAAAATCCTAACCTTGACTGTTAGAGGACATCAACATGCGGAGAGGCCAACTAAATTTTAATATACCAAGGGATTAAGTGCATAAATTTTTTAATTTAAGATAAAGCATCCCTAGTCTGGGAGAACGTTAAATTGCTTTTTTTGCCGTCGGCACACTCGCGCACCCTGAAGCTACTCTGTGAAATGTTGTGGATGAGTGCCCCTCGTGGCCCAGCACAATTAAATACAAACCTCTGTCAGTCAGGAACGGCGCACAGCCAGGTCCCCAGCCAGCTGTCTTGAAAGGCAATGTTTAAAGCTGCCAATAAGATAACATTTTAACACTACCTGCTATTTTTGTGAGTAGAATTTGGCCCTTTAGAACTACCTTAATGTTCGTGCAAAGCGCAGCAACCAAGGTCAGGCAGTGGAAAGTAAGTTTGTTCTTAATAATGCAGAAGGACAGAAATAAATTAGATAAACTTGTCTCCCAGGTGACTATGGAAAAGCTGCCTTATTTCTGATTTACAAAAGCTATGGATGTCTTTACTACTTCTGGGTTTTTTTAGAACAGAGTTAAATGAAAGCAATTTTTATTTTACGAAAGATTTTTGCATTTTACCATCATTCAACATGGTGAACATGTATCCTCAGCTGTAACATTTTAAAGAAACGGTTGTATCCAAAAGAAACTAAATCAGAAGTTCATAGGGAAA